AAAATCCAGATTCTTGAGTATTTCTCATTTCTGGTCTTCAGATTTAGAGGAATATCTGTTACTACAGTGTCTTCCTGGAGTTCCTTCTGAGTGCACAGTTTACTGCTTGCTGGATTCACTGGTTTATTACCGACCTAGGATGGCAAGCAAGGTAGAGGTACCAGAGGCTCAACACAGCAAAGATTTAGTTATTGATCACGTACTGTGTCTGGTCTGGGTCAGGGTGGACAGTGCCTATGCTCTGTGCACAGTGAGTCAGAGAATAGAGCTGGTGGAGGCCCCACCCTCCATGCTGGACCATTAGAGTACATGGCTTCTGGGCTACCACAGCAGGGCAAGAATGCTCACCTACTCCTCTATACTCCTGTCTTCATTGCCCATTGGGTAGAGCACATGACCCTGCCTAGCCTCAAGGAGTCTAGAAACATGGGGAACGTGTGGAATGTGTAACCAGGTAGAAGAGATGTTATGCTTCTTCAAAGAGTGCATTTGAAACCTGTTCCTTCCGCTTCCTCATCTCTTCCAAGGTTTATGGCCCGCCCAGTTTGCTGAGCCCCCAGATTTACTGAAGTCTTCATGACAGCAGCTTCCAGTAGTCTAGTGAGGACAGAATGCTTCAGTCAATCAGAAAGCCCATGAGTAGAGCCGCGTACCCACAGTAGAGAAATGGCTGGCCCAGCTGTGATGTCATCTGCTCATCTCCCTCTTCAGGGCATTAGGATACTTTTGCTGGCCTCCTGGTGACCGTATGGTGAGCTGGAAACACTGCCATTCACTCCAAAAGAAGCAGCCAAGGTCCTGAGGCCCGATGGGGCCTTGCAAAGCCATCTTAGTGCCGTCACGACCACTCACTCAACTTGGCCATTGTAGCATGGAAACAACCACAAGCAGAAGATGTAAGCTAGCATGGCTGCGTTCCAGTAAGACTGTGGCCACAGGAAGTCCAGTTTCATGTGGTTATTTCATGTCATAGACTCTAACTCTTTTTCTTTCATTTTTCCTCTAACCATTAAAAACATGTCATATGAAAAAAAAAAAGACTACTGAATGGATTCAGACTGCAGACCGTAGCTTGTTGCCTCTTAGGACAAACACATTTATAGGCAAAGCCGTGGACAGTTTTCCAAGATGGAGAAGTAAGCTGACTTGGTCTGATACTTCACATGCCCTGTGGTATCTGTGGTATCTCCATCGCGTATGCTAGGAGATTAAAGGCCTGGGGCAAGTGGCGTAGGTCATGGAACAGAAAAAAGCACATAAGGGTATTCTCAGTACCCTTTCAAGCAAGACTGTGGCTCCCATCTGTTAGAGTGACTGAGATCTCCAAGTTCCATGCTGCTACATTTTGGGGTGCTGTGGGTACTGCCTGTGTTGCTGGTAGGAGGGCCGTGTAGTATAACCTCTGTGGGAATGGTTGGGCAGATGTAGCAGAAATTTCTTCCAAGTCTAGGATTTATCCTACAGTTATATTTGCAAAAAATGGGAACTGATGAGAAGCAAGGAGATTCGGCTGGGCTTAGTAGCCTTTACTGGGAATCCCAGCACTAAGGAAGCTGAGACAGGAAGATTGTTGTGAGTCTGAAGCCAGCCCAAGTTACCCAGTGAGTTCTAGACCAGCCTGGGCTATAGTGTGAAAGCCTGTCTCAAAAAGAAAAAAAAAAAAACCCATGGGACTGGAGAGATGGCTCAGAGGTTATGAACACTGGCTAATCCTCCAGAGGTCCTGAGTTCTGTTCTCAGCAAGCACATGGTGGCTCACAACCATCTGTAATGAGATCTGGTGCCGTCTTCTGGCCTGCAGGCATACATGAAGATAGAGCACTCACATACATAAAATAAATAAAAATATGAAGCACATAACACATGTACAGTATAAGTTTCACCCTAGTTTGGGGAGCCAGAGATTAAGAACTGTCTAATGTCCCAGGGAACTGCCTGAACTGGTTTTATACAAACATTCAGGCATTCTGTGGAACCATATTTAAGAAACAAGGAAGCTTTTTAAAAAAATTAAGTTTGTGTTGCTTTTAAGATAGGTTGACCTTGAACCCCCTTCCTGATCCTTCTGCCCTCAGTTGCTGATATTAATATGTCCAGCTTCTTCATCCCTAGTGTGTGTATGTCCTCCCTCCCCACCCCGCTCCTCTGTCTCCCTCACCACCATTTCCTTTTTTTGGAGGCAGGATCTCAACCATGTTTCCCGTGTTGTCCCGGAACTCATAATTCTCCTCTAGTGTCACTTTTCTTAGTGGATGGCATTGTAATGAATCTTTTTCTCTGTCCCGCCAGCCAGCTCCCAAATAATGACAGAGACTTGATAACTTGATAATGAAAACTTGACCTGAGCTTAGGTTTGTTTCTAACTAGCTCTTATAACTTAAATTAACCCATTTCTATTTATCTACATGCCGCTGCGTGGTTCGTGGCTTTTACCTCTCCTCCTCTATGTCTTGTTTCCTCTGCACTAGGCTGGCGACCCCCACCCCCTTTCTTTTTAGCGCTCTCCCAGTCTAAATATCTGATATGTGACCCCTATGGAGTCGCGACTCACAGGTTGAGAACCACTGGTTTAGTGAGTAAAAGCATTTGCTGTAAAAACCTGAGTTCAAACCCCAACAGCCATGTAAAAAGCTGGACATAGTTGTGCACTAGTAATTCTAGTGCTGGGGTGGGCAGAAACAGGAGCGAGGGGGCTTGCTGGCCTCTGTCCTAGCTGTAGGTTCAGTGACAGACAGTGTCTCAAGGGCATAAGGTAGAGAGTAGTATATAAACACGTGAATGCATGCACCTACCCAGCCATACGTATACTCTTCCCACTTCCCCATTGAGAAAACTTATTCACTGGCCTGAAAGAAATGACCCCCAAGAGATGCTGAGGGGATGGGTACTATGTGTTTGTATCATACATAAAGTAACTCTGTAAGGAGTTATAAGAATCTACTGTATTTCTTGCCTCCAGGGAGGGCGACTGGGAGGCTGGAGGATAGGATGAGACTGAGACCATCCGACTCTTTCAGAGGTTCCTGTGACTGGTCCTTAACTTAAAAACTATAGTGATTTTCCTTCATCAGCATCCAAACTTTGGGGTGTACAGGCACACATCACCATACCTGGCTGAGACTTTCCAGGGTCTACCACGCATCACCATGCCTGGCTGAGACTTTCCAGGGTCTACCACGCATCACCATGCCTGGCTGAGACTTTCCAGGGTCTACCACGCATCACCATGCCTGGCTGAGACTTTCCAGGGTCTACCACGCATCACCATGCCTGGCTGAGACTTTCCTGGGGTCTACCACGCATCACCATGCCTGGCTGAGGTTTCCTGGGGTCTACGGACACACATCATCATACCTAGCTGAGATTTTCCTTTCTGCATTCTTCTTTTGCATTTAGGGGGGAGGGTGTTGGTATGGTTCTATGAAGCCCAAATGACCTCCTACTTGCTATGTGGCAGAGGCTAGTAGTAATTTCCTGATCCTTTTGCCTCCACTCCACAAGTCCCGAGACTACAGGCGTGTACCACCACTTTGTAGCTTTGAACCATGTGAAGATGAATACTTACTCAAAAAATAGGTAAAAATGAATAAAGTTTATCTTCACGGCCCCAGAAAGCCACGCAATAAGGAAGCCCAGTTAATTGTATTTACTCGTTTTCACATGTTCACGTGCCATCCAGGGCAGCTTGGCTCCTGTGGTATGAACTGAGACTATTTCTTTACACAGTGCTGTCTGCCTCCTTCTACCTGCTTCCTTGGTTACATGTGAAGAGTGAATGATGGATACCAACAGTACCTTGGACTTGGAGTTAAAATGTTTAAGTCAGTCTACAGTTATTTCTGGATTAGCTGTTCTTCCAGGTCAGAGCTTCCTAATCACTATGCTCAAATTGAATGTGTGTGGGGGGGTGCTTCAAGTGGCAACTTCTTCTAAGAATCCTGCCCCTTATTTCTAAGTGGCTCTGCAAATATTATTTTAACATGGACAGTGGTATAGGAAATTTGAGAAATAATGGCACTTGCTCTTCCAGAGGACTCAGGTTGGATTCCTCTCACCTACATGGTGGCTGTAACTCCAGTTCAGATTGGATGCCCTCTTCTGGACTCTTGCGGGTACTGCACACATATGGGGCACATACATACATGCAGGCAAACACTCATACACATAAAATAAAAATAAATAAATCTTTTTGGTGTTTCAAGACAGGGTTTTTCTGTGTAGCCCTAGCTATCCTGAAACTCACTCTGTAGACCAGGCTAGCTTCGAACTCACAGAGATCTGCCTGCCTCTGCCTCTCAAGTGCTGGGATTAAAGACATGCACCACCTTAAATCTTAAACCTATATGCTGCATAAAAACCATTATAAAAGTAACAAACCAAATAGTTGTCGTCTTTGGGGGGGGGGTGGTCTTTGGGGGAGATCTCAATAGTGGTTTGGCCCAGCCCAGGAGTCCTTAGCCTATTTTCCAGATTGAGGGAAGTGAACCCAGAACTTCCCAAGAGTTCCCCAGCCTCGGGGTCTCCCACACAAGCCTACTGGGGGTAGAAGAAGAGTCACATTTTAGGACATTTTTCACTTTCTAGGAACAAACACTCCTGTCCCACTCTCCGCTGACGGACCTATAGTTGGGGACCATTGTCTTCAAAGAATATGTGAAATCTCACGTGGTTAGACCAATTTAAGCTAAGTTCACACCACCAAATACTAGAGAGATTTTTCTCAAGTGCTAATGATGGGTGAAAAACCAAAACCCTCCTCCTTTCAAACGGTGTTCCCTGTAGGCTAGCGCCTAAGAACTTTTTGAAATTCAGTTATCACTGTAGTACTTATTGTCATGTTGCGTCCTGGTAAGTCTGGTGATGTTACCATTATCTGTTCTTCATGTTTTCTGGAAAAAGTGACTGATTTAATGTGTCAGTGTAGTACTATGTGAAGAATCTGAGAGCTATTAAAATGCTTAAAAATAAAATGATCAATTCTTCCTTTGTTCTCGCGACAGGATAATTGAAGCTATCTGCATAGGCTGGTTCACCGCGGAGTGCATCGTGAGGTTCATCGTCTCCAAAAACAAGTGTGAGTTTGTCAAGAGACCCCTGAACATCATTGACTTGCTGGCAATCACGCCCTATTACATCTCTGTGCTAATGACAGTGTTTACAGGCGAGAACTCGCAGCTCCAGAGGGCTGGAGTCACCTTGAGGGTGCTCCGGATGATGCGGATCTTCTGGGTGATTAAACTCGCCCGGCACTTCATTGGCCTGCAGACGCTGGGTTTGACTCTCAAGCGATGCTACCGAGAGATGGTGATGTTACTTGTCTTCATCTGTGTTGCCATGGCAATCTTTAGTGCACTTTCTCAGCTTCTTGAACACGGGTTGGACCTGGAAACATCCAACAAGGACTTCGCCAGCATCCCTGCTGCCTGCTGGTGGGTGATTATCTCCATGACTACAGTTGGCTATGGAGATATGTATCCTATCACAGTGCCTGGAAGAATTCTTGGAGGAGTTTGTGTTGTCAGTGGGATTGTTCTGTTGGCATTACCTATCACTTTCATCTACCATAGCTTTGTGCAGTGTTATCACGAGCTCAAGTTTAGATCGGCTAGGTATAGTAGGAGCCTCTCGGCTGAGTTCCTGAATTAATGTGTTGTGAATCAGTCCTTGCTCACACTTGATTTGATTGAGAGTTGACACGACTTCTTATTCATGTGTTTCTCCCTGGGTGAGCCCTGCAGTGGCGTTGTCATCGTGTTGATGGGGCGAACGATATTCTTTACAGTTGAAGGGATAAAGCAGTCTACTTATGGAGTAAACAGGACGGGGACCACTCACACACACCGGTGACACCAAGAGTAAACTTTAGGACCTGGCTTTATTTGGTCTTGTCTCTGCCTTGGCAGAATCTCGCAGGCCCATTGTTGTGGGATGTTGTTAAGCCCATTATTTGAACGCTTGAAAGTAGAAAGACACCATTCTCCAAATGCTTTTCCGTCTTAACGAATTCAGAAGAAGCTTGGAACTTACAGTGTTATTTTTGAGACTAACATTTTCATTTCTAAATGTTTTATAATTTCTCATATCAATGTCAGAAGTATCCTGGAAACATATGCCACATGTGCGAACTGTTTAACAAATACTTTAAAAAGTTGGCCCAAATTTAAACTGTAGCATGGAGCTAGAGACAAGCAAAAATATTATTGGAAAAACTTTGCACACTTCTCTGTGCCCAGCTTCATTTCTGTGCCTGTCACTTCCCTTATCTTAATAACTTCGTGCAACCTGAAGTGTGTTTTCTCTTCCTCGTTAGGCTGCCCACTTTCCTGAAGTAACTTCCAAAGAGTATGTGAGAACGGAGAGAGCTTATATTGTTCAGTGTTTTGTTGGGCAATATTAGAATCCATTGCTGTGACTTAGGCCATAAGAGTCCTAACATTCAGATAGCCAGGAATTCCTAACATAAAATGATAATAGAAATGGTTTGATATTCTCAGTGTTAGAGCCCATAGGTCTCCTCTCCAGTTCTTTACTTTCCCTCAGCACCACGGGTTTAAAGGAAGAAAAGATATTTATTTAGCCTTTTGGCACAACAGTAGTACTTAATGTGTCGTCTAGGTTGTCATTAAAGGAGAAATGCTGACTGTCTTAGTTGAGTGTCGCTAAGTCAGCTCGAAGCCAGCTCTAGGCAGCACAGATGCAATTATTTGGCCTGATTCCCCATCGTGAATCAGTCACCCCAAACCTCTTCTTGAGAGGATGTCAGACAACAGACCACATTACCCCATCTAGACTCTAGTGTTAGATGGAGCAAAAGCGATGGCCATTCAGTGCTCAATTTTCATAACTATGAATGAGACTATTGGATTTTCAACAACTCTTAATAAAGAAATCATGTGAACGCACAGAAACATCAAAGTCACTGATTCGCCAATAATTTAGTTTGCATACTGTGATTATCAGGGGTGAAGGAATGGGTGGGGACCTGGATGTGCTTTTCAATCTCAGAATTGCCAGAAGTGTCTACTAAAGGAGTATTAGCCATGAGTTAACTTTCACTGTTACAGGTAGAAAAACCAAGGCGAGAGAGGATGTGCTAATTAAGGAGCTAGGGCCGAAACCTTTGTCTCCTGTGAGCAGACTCGGCAGTTTCTTCTGCAGACCTCTCTAGGCTTGACAGAAACTGCCATAGGCCACACTTCTTTCTCGTTGCCACGATCAGGTAATAATAGCAAGACCGTTTCCCTTTCCCTAATTCCCTTTTCTGAATTCATGTGATACTGGCCTTTAAAAAAAACCTCACCGCTTCTTCCCTCCACCTTCACTGGTATGCTGACTTCACACACTAGATTGTTATTTATGTATTTTTGTTGCATTTTAACTGAACATATGGCATAGTTTTATTTATTTTTAAGTTTTGTGATTTATGCAAATTGTATGCAGATGATAGTTCATCTATATTATTAGTAAGAATATGGTAACCTTTAGTTTTACTGGCGCTGTGATACTTCATGTGGATATGTTTCACCTCTCTACGCATAGTACTGTTGTGAGCTGGAACCCTTGAGGGCACACACACATTGCCATATCCTCACAGTGTGTGTTTCAGACAGGCTCATGTGTGGCAGAAACTGGTATGAAGAGACAAGGAGATGTCATGGCTGGATGTGCACATGGTTAGCCACGCGTAGGAATCCACACAGGCGCTCTAAGTTGCTTTTGGGTAGGAAGTGAGGATGCTCGACTTTTCACAGGGGCCGACTTTCATCAGGAAGCACTTGGATGTTGCTAACGGCAGTTCACCTACTGTTTATAAACAAAGAGATAAGGTGTGATAAACTGGTTCATTCATAAGTGAGAAAATACAACAGAGTTGGTTTATCCTGTAGGTTGTTGTAGCATGTTAGGGACTGGTATTTTCTTGCAGTTTTCTCTGGGTATCATGGATTTTTGTTTTACTTATTTTTTTCATTTGTTTATTTTGCTTTTTTGGAGATAGGGTCTCTTGCTGTATACATAAGGCTGACCGCAAACTTGTGACAATCCTCCTGCCTCTGCCTCCCAAGTGCTAGAATTACAGGTGCATGCCACAACATCCAGCTGCTTTAAAAACAAACCCAGAACAGATGGTTCAGTGTTTAAGAGCACTTACTGCTCTTGCAGAAGCCTGAAGTTCAGTTCCTAGCACCCATGTGGTAGCTCACAATTATCTGAAACTCCAGTTCCAGGGGATCTGGCGCCCTCTTTTGGTCTCTGTGAGGTTCTGCACACATGTAACGAACATATACTCACACAGACGCACACACATGTGCATAAATTTTAAAAATAAACAAATTTCAAAAATTGTCAGGGTGGCGTCTTCTTCTTAGATGTCCTTTAGCAATCTTTCACAGCTTGGTCTTCGTGGCACTAATGCTTGCATGAGGACCCACACCCACCCCAGGGAGTCAGAGATATCCTCAGCTAGAACACTGAGAAGGGGAGATACCCAAGTCTTTGTTGTGAATTTACTGCATTTGAACATATGTGATTGATCACTCTTACACATTTGATTTGTATTCCCTGAAACAAGGGGGGAAAAAAACAGAACTAGGGAATATGTGTGAAAGTGGGCATATAATTTAATAACTTCTCTTTTGTTGTTTTTGTTTGTTTCTTTCTTTTTTGAGACATAGTTTCTCCATATAACCCTGGCTGTCCTGGAATACTCTGTAGACCAGACTGGCCTCAAACTCACAGAGATCCACCTGCTGCCTGAGTGCTCAGACTAAAGGCACGCACTACCATGCCTGATTCTTTTTTTTGTTTGTTTGTTTTTGTTTTTTTAATTATTATTACTTTTGTTGAGTTGCTTGTTCAAACACTTCCATTTGTCCTTGGAGTTAGTAGTTACATGTGATTGTACATTTGTAAATTTTTATTTAAAAATGTTAAAATCTATTCATTCATAATAACTGTTAGTATATCAAAGTAATCATTTTTTTAAAAAAAAAGGACATGTATTTATTTTACTGTGTGTAGTTTGTATGTGTGTGTGTTAAAGAGAGAGAAAGAGAGAGCAGAGTCTAGGTCCGAGAACAGCTTATAGGTGTCTGTTACCAGTGCCCACTGTGTGGTTTCTGGGGTCCGTCTGGCTTGGCAGCAATCACCTTCACCAGCTGAGCCATCTCCTCAGCCCTTTTAAATCTTTGAGCGCACATCTTGCCCGAGTCTCTTGTGACCCTGCGGAGTGGAGATGAGCAGAAATTGAATGTTGATATGTGGAGAATTTTCTTAGTTGGTTGGGTATTTTCTAGAAGCTTGTTTATCTTTTTGTTGTTGTAGAAATGAAAATAAAGAACTGAAAACTCCTAGTTCTGCCATACAGCTAAACTGTGCAGCTTCAAACTTAACACACAGGGGCAGAGTATTCCCCCTCTGGCCTGACATAGGTGTGTATTCTTTGTGCAGTAAAGCAGACCACCACCCAGTCAAATCTGAAGTATTATCTACAGGCTCATAGGAAGCTAGAACTGAACAGATGCGGGAGGCCTTCTGGTCTACCTTGCCCAAAATCTACACCCTTTATCCCAAACCCAGATCTAGCAAGAGCTGATGTCTACTCCACTGGACTGAGTTGGGAAAGGTCATACTTCTGTCAGGTCAGGCCAGGCAGCAGAGAGTTGATTCCAGACTGCTGATCTTTTTATCTACTCCTTCCTTCCCACCCCACTTTGTTTTACAAAGTTAAAGGTAGGGAGGCTTTCTTTTAAAAATAGTTCTTCTTTAGGGCCTAGAGAGATGACTCAGTGGTTAAGAACACTGACTGCTCTTACCAATGACCTGGCATCAATTTGGTGGCCCACAACCCAACTCTGAATTCAGGAGAACTGAATGCCCTCTTCTGGCCTCCTAGGTCACCAGCCACACATACATATGATGCACATATATATACACACACACACACACACAAACATATATGTACATGCACACATACATACTTACATATTCTAAACTATATTTTTCTTTTTACGCTTTAGAGATTCCTTCCCCACTTTTAGTTCTAATTAAAAAGTCATTGTTTTCAGAGGCTTTAAACATCAGAAAGGCTTTGGGATTGTGCAATGCCTTAGGGAACCCAGATTTTTATTTTATTTTTGTTTGTTTGATATTTTTGATTTTATGAACTAGGATTCTGAATATCTTAGACCCCCCCCCCCCCTTTCTCTCTTTCAGCAAGGTCTTATTAAGCTCTGGCTGTCCTGGAACTCACTTTATAGACCAGGCCGGCCTCACATTCACAGAGATTGCCTACCTCTGCCTTCCAACCCCAGGCTGGTCTTGAACTAGTAACTCTCTGGTGTCTTAACTCCCAAACATTAAAATTACAGGTACACACTACCATACCCAGAAGGAACTCTTACTTTTAAGGGATGTTTGACTTTGGTTTTCTTCTTCTCATGTTTCCTCATCCCGTTCATACGCCCAATGCTGAAAACCGACCTTATACATGCTCAGCAAACCCTCTTACCACTGAGCCAGTCTCCTAGGCTTTCAGTCGAATTTCAGAAAAGCTCCTATGTGCGAGAGTGTGTTCACATGCGTGTGCACAGGCAGTTGGTTATTGTCGTTGCCTTGTTTAGGACAGTCATAGCGGAGCAGGAAGCTTTAATGGAGAACTCTGGACAGGCTCCAGTTGGTAAGGGAAAGCTGCATACACTGGTTCCTTAGGCGAGCATTCATACGGTGTTTGCTTCCTGCCTTTCTAGACGCCATCTGCCCTTGTGGGAATGGGCATGACAGTTCCCTTTCAGAGGGAACGCTAATGCTCTACTGTCCCATTTGCCGTGGGAACCTTCCATAAACTGGTGAAGTGTCACTAGATGACATACACTTTGAGATTCCCCAATTCTCTCAGGCAATCCCAGGATGCATTGTACTTTTTCCTCCTACTGGGGATTGAACCTGGGACCTCAAGGTTGTTGGTCAAGCACACTACCACTGAGCTACACTTCCTAGGAGTGCACTTTAACTTTTGATCTTTCATGCAGCTTCACGGCCAGTTTAGGAAATGAGATGTGATCATCTGCATTTATACTGCATCTTATTTTATTGTTTTTGAGACAGAGTCTTGCTTTGTAACCCAGGCTAGCCTCATCTGGGTAACAATCCTGCTGCTTCAGCCTCCCGAATGCTAGGATTTACAGACATGTATCGCATCTATTTCTTATACTCAAATTTGATTTAGTAGCTCTGGTGGGAATTTAAAAATATCATCTTGAGTCCAATAATCCAAGTCAAAACATAAGCGATATTAGTGGGTAGAATTCAGATGGACTATTATTCCACTTTCACCTACAAAATCTGACTCTGTCATTATGTCTGAGGGAGGACTCTGGTAGCCTCACTTATGCCCATTCCATTAAAGCTAGAACTCCCTGTTATTTTGCCATAGGGAGATTCCTTTTCTTAGACTTTAGTTCTTGGCTTTGCCGTTAATGCCCACAGTTCTGCCCAGGACAGAGTAGAGGCATTTGCATGCTGTGGATGTTAAAGTGCTCTATTTGTTTATAAGAAGGGATACGTGTCTTAGTGAGGGTTTCTTTTGTTGCACCAAAACCCCATGATCAAAAAGCAAGTTGGGGAGGAAAGGGTTTATTCAGCTCACACTTCCACATTGCTGTTCATCACTAAAGGAAGTCAGGACAGGAACTCAAGCTGTTCCCGGAGGCAGGAGCTGATGCAGAGGCCGTGGAGAAGTATTGCTTACTGGTTACTTTTCCCTGGCTTGCTCAGCCTGCATTCTTATAGAGCTCATGTCCACCAGCCCAGGGATGGTATCACCCACAATGGACTGGGACCTCCCCAATTGATCATGAATTGAGAAAATGCCTTACCGCTGGATCTCACGGAAGCAGT